GTAACTAAGATAATGCGAAAAAATAGGGTAAAAAATAAATCAAATTATGTTATGAAATAATATGCAAGGTAATGACTTCATAGTCTTTGAATTTGTGAAAGTCAGCATTTTTTTAACAGATGGTAAGAATTTAGTAGACAGTATTGATCAGAGTATGCAGTGACTGTCTGTTTTATGAACATTTTTTTATATTGGCCCAGCTAAAGAACTTGGTCAATATCCAGCCTTAATGACTAGCAGTATATCAACAAAACACAGACTACATGACATTTTGTATACACCTATTTCAATTAAGGTTGCTCCCGTGAACCATGTTTCATAGCCTGCAGTGCACTATGGTAAACCCTTTTGCAGCTGGAAGTTTAGTCTTGTTCACATTCATTGAAATAATGGAGACCATTTGTGAAAAGGCGTTCAAGAGAGCTTTCAAGTCAAATAGCTGCTAAAATTCTTAAGCATGAGCGAGCTGAAAAATTTCATTTTTAAAATCTCATAGTAAAAAATTAGAAGCCTCTTCCTTTAACAACATTAAATGAAGAGGGTTTTACCGCCTGATTCAGATCCGTTTTTGCATGGGCCAGAATCCTGGTTATTTCAATAAAGCAAATCAACGCTATTCTTTTTTTTATATTCAGATTAAAAAAAAAAAGCCTCAAAAGTAGATAAACACGTAGTGTTAAGTTATTTATTATTGTTCAACAAACGCCTTGAATTTGATTTTTTTAAATCTCCATTCAAAATTCCCACGTGCAAGAACCAAGCCAACTCGTTGAAAATTTGTAGCATTTGCATATTACCACAGAGAAAAACCTAACCTCAAATCACTGTCTTAAATTAAAAAGCCTAGGATTCAGTGCTTTGAAATACATTGTCTTAACGTTCTGCTGGCATAGCATAGAAGCGTCGGCAGCGTTTGCTTTCTAGGTTTCTAGGCTCGTTGCGGGCACATAATTTACTAGACTTGTTACGATAATGCACCGCGGGATATGAAACACGGATCATGCATCATTCTTGTCTGAAGCAACCTTAATTGAAATAGGTGTATACTTTGGCAGACGCTTTGTGTACACTGTCAGTAATATTGTCGGCAATACTAATACGAAAAAAAATAACAAAAATAACAAAATTACAAGTGAAGTTAGGGATCTATACCAACATCCATATGACTTAATGCCTCAGTACCCTTCGTAAACAATGTGTACGCATTTTTTCCCGTTTGAATTTGATTGCGAAAGTTGAGTATAAAAACGAGCAAGTAATAATTTCTTACTACCCAATCCTTATCCCTCTACGAATATGTAGTTATTTACAAAACATCTTAACAAAACGCTTAATGGATCTTTAGTCTATTTAACGAGGAAGATCGAAATCGGACTTTTAAACTAACAGTGTAAGGTTACATCGCTTGCATGTACGCGAAAAAACAACAAAATTACAAAGCTATAAAATTGCAGGTTGTCGCTTCTTCTATGATTTTCTACCACTCAATTTCCCATTTACGAGGAAAATATTATAAACATAGAGTAATAGGACTCACCACCTATAGATAAAATGCAGAAAACTGGCAGCAAACATTCAAACAACATCCAAGCACCAGCGAGCGCCATGATGATTACCGAGCTTTTTGGTCACGTGACATTTGAAACGCATTTCCTGGAGTTCAGACTCCTCGCGGGCGCGGTTCAGTGAAAACAATGCTTATGCAAAATTTTGGGTGGCGTATTGCCCATTCACTTTTCTTGTCTATCTGTGGGATTGTTCCAGGGAGGTATCGCAAACAATGGTTATGCAAAATTTTGATATGAAATAGTCAGTCAAGAGTTTTTAGCACTTAAAAAAACTAAAACCACACGGTATGCCTTGTCACTGTGGTTATCTTTGCATCAAGAAAAAGACCACGTTGCTCACTAATGATTGGGGTAATTGGCAGCTTGTAATCTTTTATTCCGCTTTTGATCATTTTAATGTTAAAAGGCGCTATATTAGGTGAATAATTATTTTACATTTTTAGCACACATTCGCAAAACAAAACAAGGAAATATTTGATAAAAGTGCTGGAAACTTTTGTGAAATAGACTGTTCACAGTCCTCTATTTTTCCCAAGATCATCGAGATCGAGCGCTTTGCGTTACGGGCTGCCATCTTGCATGAGCGGTATAACTACTTAGGGGGCGGGGGCGGAGCTATAATCCCCGACGCCCGCCCCCTCGGTACATTTGAAAATCAAGATGTGACGGTAAGACGCCTTATATCTAAACGATCTCACGAAAAAGTGGGGGACTGTGAACAGTCTGTTTGTGAAACAACTTTTACCCTTAGCCTCCCACACAGACATTCTTTATAGGGATCCGTTGGGGAGGATTGCGTGACGAGGCAAAAGAACGTCTGCGTAAGGGGTTACTTTTACCCCATGCTTAGCCAAAGTATCAAGCTTTTCTAGGGAAAGGGCAGCCTCATTCCCAGTCGTCCGCAGCAATTTTGGATGTGAGACGTCACCTGTCAAGCTTGTCGGGAAAATTCACCGAGGACGAACGCTAGTTCCAAGCCTCCTCTGGTAACTCGGAGAGCACGAACTGGCCTGGGTACGAGGCTTGGAAAAGTGGAAGAGAGAAGTAGGGAAGGGAGAAAGGTAAGGTAGAGCCTTCACCTTCTCAAAATGTCCTGTCCTTAAATCCCTACGTCAGGCCCTGATATATACTTGATTCAGTGCATTCATATGTGTATAATTTTTCCATAATAGTACAAATACTCAGAGTATGAAATGACAGCATACACATTTCATTTTTGACAATATCATTTAATCTTTGAGTAAGTAAACTCAAGTCTTTCATAATAGGACACATGGAACTAATAACATCTTTTTGACAACCACATGCTGGCTGAACGGTTGCCTAAAAATCAAGATTAATGTTATTTTGGAAACAAGGTTTCCTCAGATGTAAAGCACATCTAAACATGTAGACATCCATGACTTGGAAGTTGAATATGTTCTTAAATCTTTGCATAGCATGGAGTTTAATCTTTTCAAGTAATAGAAATGTACAACAATAAGTTACAATGATATTTTTCAATAAAAGAAAGAAGATCACACAAGTCTCCTAAAATATTAAGACCTTAAAAGTACAAAATCTGAATTAACAAGAAACCAAGTACAATGGCTTTAGCTCTGAACATTCACTACGCTGTCTAATTTGTATGACCATTTATGTGATAATAGTCAGACTTCATAAAAATCACCTGTAAGTAACTGATAATGCCTTTGATATAAATAATCTCAAGGCTGCTTAAGTCCACGATTAATTTCAATCTGGTTGGCCAGGAAGCAACTCTTGTTGTTTTATTTGGCCTGTGGCCCTTGGATCACTGGGATAACAAGCAAATTTCTAACCGTTACGTCTCTTTCTCAAACTTATCAATAATTCATGACAAGAAAACAAAGTATACATTTATTTCTACCGTATTTATTCGATTAACCGCCCTGGGCGCTTATTAAATTTTTGGACCTTGAGAGTGGGAGCTTATTCGAGATGGGCCCTTATTCAAGGCTGGGCGCTTATTAAATTTTCACCATTTTCAGCAAGTGTAGTATGTTAATTTTGCAAAAATACAATAAATGGTAACAATAAAAAGCAAAGATGTAACAAAGCAAGGTTTCTGTAAAATACTCTGAAGAAAACTCCATCTTCGGGCAAGTCTCTTATTAGTACTTATTTAAGGTTTTTTGGGTGGGAGGGACCAGAAAGGGGGTGGGCGCTTATTTGAGTTTGAGTTTGAGGGGGAGGGAGTTGGGGTTGGGGTGGGTGCTTATTCAAGGTGGGCGCTAATTCGAGGTTGGACGCTTATTCGAATAAATACGGTATGTTCCATGACACTGGATTAGATATCAGATCATCATTACCATAAAACGTCACCCATATCCAGACACAATGAAGTTCTGCTTGTCTAAAAGAACTCAACCTCATTTTTGACCAACTTATCGGTGTCTGATAGCCTATGCCACAAACAGAAATTTTTCTTAACTTCAGGTTATGTCCGTCTGCAAACAGTGTTGAAATCCTTGTTCTGGGCCCCCCACCTATGTACCAGGATTTGAGTACGCGACATTATAAGCCTGTTAAAAAGCCATGGTCAATTTGCTAATCAGGTTGAAGGGAAATTTGAAATGCATTTCCGGTAATTTATTGAAGTGTGCAAAGAAAGTAGTGTCCGATAGCCCAGGGCTAGTGGATTTTGCTATCGGGATAGTGAAATCTGTTTCTAACTTGCCCGATGGGCCAGTAAATGTTTTTTTTTTTTTGGGGGGGGGGGGGGGGCGGGGGGGGGGATGGGTTATTCAAAATAGAAAAAGAGAATAATATTTGTATTAAACCTTTTTTATAAAACTTTTTTCGGTTTATTTAAAACGAGTTTTGGGTGGTCAAATCCCACTTACGGCTTCGCAATTGGAAATGTG